ACGTTGGCTGCCGCGCGAATTTTACGTGACTTGCCCAAGGCGCCAACATGAAGTTTTCATTATGCGATGCATATTATGTTGAAATATTATTTACAGCAGATAAGTTTAGTTGTATAAACTTGTTTTATGCATTTTTTTCGTGGCGGGGGTCACCGGTGACCCCCAAGGCGCCGCAGACCATTTTTGCGATTACATTTCAATCTCCGAGTTTAGGATGAAGTTAGCGATGTATTTAGTGAAATGTTGTAACGATGAAGATTGCACTTCACCAAGCAATTACGTACAGAAAAAACGTCGTCATGAACTTAAAAGGGAACCGGGAAGTATGCGAAATATAAGGCGATTTTGCAAATTGCGTTACGAAAAAAATGCAAAACAACTAGGAAGAATGAGAGCAAAGAATTGCGCTATGAAAGTGACCTCATATTGTGCTGACTGTTCTGGTTCACCTTTTCTGTGCCTGCCGTGTTTCAATGTGTTTCATCGTTATGCGCGCAACATGTATATTTCCTTGTATTAATAACATTATTTTTGCACGTTCTGTACGGCATTAATTTCTTCAAAGCATTACAGAAACAATGGTATTATTTAGAAATTTATAAGTATCGATGTTTACCCTAATTACGTATTTTAACTATTTGTCGCGTCGCCGGTCACCGGTGACCCCCACGGCAGCCAACGTGTTAAATGTATTCTGCGGAGAATCCCGTTGCAACTTGAATCGGCGGACGAACAATCGCGCGTTCGCAGCCGTTCGGATCGATCGGGCGACACAATTTCGGCCCGATGAATTTAATTATCGAAGCCAAGGGGGGTAATGAGCGGTTCTCGCTGACATCGCCCGCAGCTTTATAAAGCTCGTATCGGGCGGACGGCGAAGCGATAAACCGCGATACAACGTCGTCTGCACGCGCATGTATGTGTACGTATGTATATCGGTCAGCTATCGCCGCGACGATAAATAACGCAACGTCGAGGTACATAATCGACCGTCGTTCTTGTTTTGTTCTTCGCGGCTCGACACGTCAAAGAGAACTCGGCGCGCCTTTCACGTTCCTTCTCGTATCAAAATTAACCTTCCGCGGTGCTGATCCAACATCCAAATATCCCTCGAGAACAAGGTAAAACGCTGCGTGAACCGCCGCGTTCGGCAGCGGTGGAATTTTATTTCGGCCCGAAGGCCAGAGATTTGACATTTTCGTTGTAACGCGCGCAGGGGCAAGGGTCAACGGCACGACAGAAAAATGTTTTCGTTCGCAGAGAGACCCGACAATCCTCTCGTTTAATTAAATTCAGATCGAAGACGTCACCGCGGTTGGCCGCTGCGATCAATTAACCCCAGCCACCGAACGCTATAAAAATGATTGCGAGGACCGACTGCAAGGGAAACTACGTTGAACTGGAGAAAATACTCCATTGTTCCTACGTGCTATCCCGGGAGAAGGTCAGGGTGAACGTCGAGAGGTTGCGACAATTGGTGAAGCTGTCTGGCATCATCCAACGGCATCGAGACGCGTTCGAGACGCGCCAAACGAGGACGAAACGGAGAAAGAAGAGAAAACAGAAACAACCCGAGTGTACCTGCTACCCCGTTGACGAATAAGATCCTCGATTCCGGGCTATCGTCGATCATTTGGCTCGGTAATCGTGCAATCTCGAAACCGGAAACGCTGTCGAGGCAAACGCGGGGAAACGCGTGAATGATTAAGAGGCATTAGCGAAACTAGTTCGCGAAGTGGCCCGGGTGCACGATGGCTCCGTGAATTTATGGTACCGGGAATATCAAACGCGATAAGCGAATGTCTGTGTCCGATTTCACGGTGGAAAGCGTGCTTGCAGTGCAAGCGCGCGAGCATGAAGCGCACTGCGCGCCGGAGCCACGCCTACCATGCGTAATTAGAGCAATTAGAGTGCTCGCAAAAATTCGTTTTCGACAGATTTCGGCATTGCTGAAACCTTCGATCTTCGATCTTAGCATTTCAGCTAAGCAAAAGAAGAGTTTTCCGAGCGACCAGATACATTAGACAGGGCGTTCTCCGACAAAGCGCTCTTCCTCTGACTCCGCTGGCCCCAAAACTTGACCCCCAGGCCCAACGAAGTGAAGCGAAAGTTCCGATCGGCGAGCGATTCAACGAGATCGCAGCTACTTTCTCTCGCGGAGCTTCTGCACTGCTGCGAAATACGGTAATTTCTCCCCAATTCGCGCTCAGATTGCGCACAGAAATGGACAATTTAGGAGGTAGAGGTATGATTATTCGAGCCTTACGTCCCGTTTTTATAGTTATCGACAATCTAATAAAACCGATTCGCAAGGCTCGAATAATCGTATCTCTTCTTCCCAAATTGTCCATTTTTTAACGCAATCTGAGCTTATCGTTATCACGAAGTCACGGAAAGAGTTCGAAACTTTTCCGCCGTCCGTAGAAAAGTTCATTCATTTTGCGGGCTCCCGACGTGCAAACAGCGTTTCCGGAAGGTGAAAGAGGGTTGTGTAATCGGGGATCGACGGGGGAACCGGCGAATTCGAACAGCGACCTATTTTCGCGGATGTTCAAGCCGGGCTCGCGGACGACTGCACAGCCGCCATTGCTAAATCTCGTAGTTGCCCAGAGTCAACATCACCAGAGGACCCACTTAGCGAGATTATTTGCAAATAGAAAGGTGAACTCTCGCCATTAGCCGCTCTTTGTTGCGGCCGAGTGGTGGCCGAGAAAGAAAAAGCCTCCGATTCGCATAATCCGAGCTCGCCAAGCCCTGTGATCGATTCCGACGAAGCTCCACCGGCGATTATCCATTCGCGGGCGGTAATTAAACGTGGGCAGTAATGAACGCTGAACCTACAGAGCCCTGAAAGTAGCTTGCACGCGCTCGCCTTGTGAAAATGACAGGACTGAATTTAAAACGAGACATCGGGAACTAGACACTTGATCGGCAATGCTAGGTTCGCCGCTAATGACAGCTTTCAGAGATCTGGGATGCAAAGAAACGTTCGCGTTACCATAACGATTGGTAAAGTTTTATATAATAATCATCGAAAATGGAAGCTCGTCTGCCGAACACTGTGGGGCAGGGGTGTCAAACTCGCGGCCCGATATGATCATTTTTGATGTCAAGTAACAGGACGTAAACAACAATAATTTAACTTTATATATGCGTTTATTACAATGTACTAGTCAAAATAAAAATATTTGTTTTTTGTCGCAGGGGTTACTGCGACGGTTTATATAAAATAATCCGAGAGAGTTTTTGGTTTTATGTGACGAGAACTTTAATACAACTTGTAACAAAAAAGGCGATGGGGTAGAGTGTGTTTTAAAATACGTAAAAGGTAAGCGAGTGACGGACGAGACAGAGATACGAACACGTCGAGAGTCGGAGGAAAACTGACTAACTAACTAACTTCTCTCCCGGTCGAGAGGTCCTCGTATTTTTTGGGAAGAGCGTATTAAAATCGGTAAGGGAAGATCCTTGGGAAGGGCGAAGGCCTTTCCCGAAGATTTTCCGACCGGGATGATCCGGAACCTAAGGTCCGAAGCTGTGTCTCGTCGTTTTTACTGTTTTATGGCGGTGTGTACGCCTCGCGTCGGGAAAACTCGAAAAAGGCATCTGCACACCCCGCTTTTGGAGGACGTGGCTTTTATTATGTCTGGTCCGCCACAGTTTCTATGAACATTGATCTTCTTTTTTTTTGCGGCCCTCCTAAAGTTAAGCATCGTTTATTTGGCCCAAGTTAGCTTTTTAGTTCGACACCCCTGCTGTAGGGTAATATTCGACTGCTGGGAGGGGGCGGGGGGGACGTCGTCGCCGGGATGAACGCACGAAAATTACCGGAAAACGTCACGTGCCACGAAATCACGGCGGGTGGGTGGCCTTAATCAATTGAATTAAGGTCCACCAACGGGCGTTACGGTTAAAAATAGACGCGAACGTGTCCCCCTTTTCATCGGTCCGTCATTTCAATCTAACGTTCTACGGAGGCGTGATAGGCGGCGACGTAACATAGTACACACAACGATCAAAAGGTAGAGAAGTGTCTCCGCTAAAAATAGACGGTGGGTCCCTCGACAACAACATTCGCCGAAAGCTTCGTCGATCCAATTCTTCGAATTTCTGTAAAACTCTCGGCGCATAAGCTGAACGATCGAAATAACATTCCCGGTCGCGAGATAACAATTATCGTTTAGGGTTCTCATGGCCGGAGAACCTAGGCTGTGCAGTCGCTTCCGTTGCAGGAACGCAGTTGGAAGAACCGAGAGGCTTCCGCGATTCTGCATTGCAACTGTGTGCAGCGGGTTCGAATAAGAAAGTAGCGTGCCACAATATGGGTATTGATTGGATAAACGGAATTTAACCCTTTGCACTCGGGTGGCGACTCTGAGGCGCTACTAAAAATTGGTATACTATTTTTCAAAATCATTCTAAGCGCATCAGACTCGTTTATATGTAAAAGAAGCTACTAAAATTGCATTGTACTTGCCAATAGGCTCAATTTCATGTGCATAAATCGCAATAGATTATATAAAATAGAAATACTGTAGATCAGAAATCATGTTTTGGATTTCGAATTCAAATAGCTTCGACTGCAAAGGGTTAAACCCAAAGGCCAGAGAGATTTCAAGATGATGACCCGCTCAGGATGCTGTTTTCTAGTGGCCTAGGAGCAGGTGCAGGTGGCCTACCACAATAGCCGTGATTCGTATCACGTACGAGACGATTACGAACCTGGCCTCAGGTCAACTTTTTTCAAACAGACAGCGACCGAGAGCTCTGACGTCAGCCTGTGCAGCTCCTGAGGATCGTCACGTAAGCATAAGCAGACAAACACGGCTGCGCAGCTCGCTGCCCAAGGCTCCCGGAAAGAGAGTATTCTTCAGGAAACGATAAACTTTTGCACTATCGAGCGTCCGGTCTGGAGCTAAAATTATCCCGAACCCGATACGTGGAACACGACTGGAATCGCCTCCTCGGGGATGATTTTTAATGAGAGTCGGGAACTCTGGTATCAACCCCGATGGATCGCGCACAGTTGCCACTGGAGCCGTTAATTGCCCCTGGGAGCGGGGTAAAGCGGACACCTTCGATAAAAGCGCGAATTCGATAGAAAGTGCATCCGTGACTCCGAGGATTTGTATGTTAACACTAAACCTACACCGTGGTCGAAATAACCGTTCTCTTATTTTGCAATTCTGCAAACTGTAGAGACTCTTTCGTGAAAAAAATGCTTGAATATTAATATATATTATATATATTATAATCGAATATTATAATATTATTATGATAATATATATTAATATAATAATAATAATATATATTATTATAATCGAATTCATTTAGATTTTGTAAAGTTTTATCATAATATATATTATATATATTATAATCGAATATTATAATATTATTATAATATATATTATTATAATCGAATTCATTTAGATTTTGTAAAGTTTTATTATAATAAAAACTTTACAAAATCTAAATGAATTCGATCTTCTCACTCGTACGAAGCAATGCACTCCAGGTACTATTACTGCTTGGGTAGAGGTTTAATGTTAACCGAGTGAGAATTTCTTGGCGCGCCCGCGAGCGGGAATCGTAGCGTAACAGTAACCGAGAACTTTCCATTGTTGTTGGGCGGTTTTGTTATTGCGAATAAATTTGATCGCAGCTGACAGCACGCGGCCGATACCTGTTGTGCAGCTGCATGTCGCGAAGGGAAACATTGCGTCACGGGTAAACTCTCGATAACGCCGTCGTCGCTTCCCTGACATTGGTCACGTCGTCGGACTTCGACGATTTTCCCGTACAGTTGGAAACCAAGCGGGAAAGCCGGCGATACAATGAGAAAGCAGAAGCGAATATACATTGGACATCATCGGGCGTCCCTGAACTTGGCCTAGTGCCACGTTTCTTCGGATTCGTGTAAATAGAGCCAGTGGTGTTCGAGTGAACCGCGGGACAGTGACCTAATTGTTGACTGACACCCTGACGCTGGAACCTGCGCGTGCTAATCCCTCCTTTTCGTGTTTGTTAGATACGACAAAAATTTATATATTTTATATATTTTACATATATATTATATATATTTTAAGTAAATATATTATATATATAATATAAATTATAAATATATATATATTTTTATATTTGATATATATTATATATATTTTATATTTTTTATATATATTATAAATTTTAGGTCCGGTTGTGTACTGCATCCCTGGAAGTAGATGAGGTGAGCAATGAACAGACGGAATAGCAGATTTCAATTTCAGCTACCACGACACTAATTCAAGATATTGAAGATGCTAAAAATCATGGCACAGAATGGTCTAGTATTCGGAATCGGGGGGGGGGGGATTTAAGAAAGCAAGAACGAGAGGGGCGTGATATTTATAGGACGCAATAAAAATTATCGGTTGCCAACGCGTGAATTCAACAGAGATTCTGCCGACAATCGGAAACTTTCAGAATCCACAAAGATCGCAACCATAGTCATGGATAGTTCGGAATGTTTAGATTTACGAGGTTCCCTCGAGGAAACCTGAATAAACGCTATTTTATCCGTCGATCCCCTAAGAAAACAGTGCTCCAATGTAAACAGCCGATTGAACGTTCTACGAAACAATGGTATTAGTTTTCATTTTTTATGGCGGAAAGATCGTGTACATCCAGAACGAGATGTTCGTTTTATCCATTGTTTCGTTGGGCTTGAAACTTCTATTGACTCC